CTGAGAAGGAAGATGGGGCAATCTGCTTCCGTAGTGACACCTCTTGGAAACCCAAGGAGGGACTGCTATGAGTCGGATCTGACTTGATGGTGTGAGTTTGGTCTTTTTTTTTTTTTTTTTGGTCACATATATGTGGAAGCTGGACAATGAATAAGAAAGGCCAAAGAAGAATTGATGCCTTTGAATTATGACGTTGGTGAAGAATACTCAATATACCTTGGACAAACAAAGAAGAACGAACAAATCTGTCCTGGAGGAGGTACAGCTGGAACGCTCCACAGAAGCGAGGGTGGTGAGGCATCATCTCACGTACTTTGGACCTGTGACCAGGAGGGCCCCGTCCCTGGAGAAGGGTCATGCTTGGTGAAGCAGAGGGTCAGTGAGAAAGAGGAAGACCCTCAGTGAGATGGACGGACATGGTAGCAGTTACCATGGGCTCTGACACAGCAAAAATCATAAGGACAATGCAGGACCAGGCAGCCTTGCACATAGAGTTGGTTTTCCTGTGCGTGTGTGTGGGAAATACAGATAGACAGATAACAAAACATTTGTCGAGTCAACAGCGTTTTCTTGTATAACTCAGAGACACTGATTGCACTCATCATATTGTGCAGGTATGATCCTTTTTTCTAACTATGAAGTCCAGAAACTCAGTGTCCCCTAAGCAATGACTCTCCCTTTCTCCCCTCCCTCCCACCCTGCTGCCTGCTAGTAAATTTCATCCCTATACACTTGTCTATTTCATATAGGTGGGATCGTACAGTATTTGTCTTTTTGTGACAAACTTATTTCACTCAGCATAGTCCATGACCTTTCCTTATTTTTTTCCACCCACAGATGTCATTAGGTTAATAGATAGTCTCTGAAACCCTTGACTTTTTTTTTCCTAGCTTTGATTTAAAATTATACTTGAAGGATATTATTAGCTTAAAATCTCCACTTGGTGCTAGGCTGAATATTGATGATGGAAACAGGATGTGAAATGCTCTGTGGGGAGAGATACCGGGTGAGGAGCCGGCATCTATCAGAACATGTCAGTAAGCAACGTTCCTCCTGCTGCCTCTGTGAGACCGATAAAGGCTCCGTGACCACTCAGCCAGGACATGAAGCTCAGGCAAGGCTTTTCATGATGAGAACTGATGATGCCTCCGCTAGGGCAGAATTAATTTCATGTTCTTGCCTCCCTTTTCTTTGCATCTTTCCCCCTGTGGAACTCTGAATCTGCAGAACTCCTTTGAGTTTTGGGGTATGGGCAGGAGACGTTTGCCATTAAACTACATGTTTCCATTCATGACATAGTGTTGAAGAATAACAATTATTGCTTTTTGAGGACACACATTCTATCAGGCACCAACCAAAATACTGTGTTATGTTGTTTCATTTATTCTTCAAAGCGACCTTCTGGGGTACATGCTATTGATATCCCAGGACAGTGAGACCTAAAGAGGGCAGGTAAATGACCCATGGGACCATGTCCAGTAAACGGTAGAGTCTGGTTTCAAACGCAGATCTGTCTGCACTAAATCCTATTCATTCAACTCTTATGCTATGCTATGCTATATGCTTATATTTCAGAAAAGGCACATTTATTCATTGCTAAATAAATAGCCTACTTCAAGTGTCTAAGGCATTTGACTGCTAACCAGAAGGCTGGCGGTTCAAACCTACAAACCACTCCTTGGAAGGAAGGTTAGGCCATCTACTTCCACAGTGATATCGCCTCAGAAACCCAAGGAGGGGTCTCTAGAAGTCAGATCTGACTCAACAGCAGCATGTTGTTGTTTTTGCATTCACAAAAAGGAGTCACTTGGGTGGATAAAGTAGCAGAGGAGTGGAATTTGGTGTCAGAGAACTTGGGTACAAATCCTGGTTTTACAACACAAGTTAGTAAATGTCACCAAACCTTGGTTTCCTCAACTATAAAATAAGAATAAAAACTTAGTGTATTTGTAGTGTTGTCAAAAGGCTTAAATGGAATAATACACTGGTAGTTTCTGACTTACAACAGGGTTTTGCTCCTATGACTCCATTCTAAGTTGGTTCTGACATTAAGTTGAATACCACTTTGTTTTTAGTGTTCATAGCCTGCTGTACAGCAATGTTTTGAACAGTAAAATCATAGCATTGAGCATCTTTAAGGGAATGTCTGAGAATGAAACATCAGCAAATTACACACTGCAACACTGATGTTGTTATTGTTATGTGCCGTCGAGTTGGACTTGACTCGTAGTGACCCCTCCTTGGGTTTCTGAGGCAATATCACTATGGAAGTAGATTGCCCCATCTTCCTTCCAAGTATATACAATTAACAATAAGATGGGTACAAAAACCAAATCCAAACTCACTGCCATCCATTAGGACCCAACTCATAGTGATCCCTCCTTGGGTTTCCAAGGCAGTATCACTACGGAAGTAGATTGCCCAACCTTCCTTCCAAGGAGTGGCTGGTGGGTTTGAACCGCCAGCCTTCTGGTTAGTAGTCACATGCCTTAGGAACTATGCCACCAGAGCTCCCAAGATGTACACACACACACACACACACACACACAGCTGTATGTGGGGTTGTAAAATAGTTTTTCTAACCCTCCCTCTTCTCTCCCTCTTTCTTCCCCTTTTTTCCTTCTCCTCCTTCTCTCCTCCCTTCCTTCTGTCCCATCCATCTTGTTCTATCAATGTCTCTTCATTGGTTAGTTGGCATTGCTCTATTAAGATTTCCTTTACCTAGAAATAACTTACAACCCTCTCAGAAAAGCCATGATAAGGACTTAATTCTCTTCCTTAACTACCAATTTTCAGAATAAAAATTGGTACAATAGTCACTTCCAGTGGTGGCAAATGAGATTTCCCCCCTCTCCCCTTGGTTTTGCTGTCATTGCTTGTATCACTATGATCTCATGGGTTTTTTAAACTATATTTCCTAGTTCTGTCCACTAAAAGGACAAGAAGTAAAATCACCTCAGTGCCAACAATCCCCTTAGCACATAGATCTTGGTTTTGAAATACCCTTTCCTGCTAAAAAGAAATCAGGAGTCTTTGGAGAAGTGACTGACTCCAGGGCTGGGACAGAAAATATAGTAAACTGGGGACATCTCATTGTGACAAATGGGACAACTTGAACATCCAAAGAATAACGACTGTGCTTTGGTCATAAACCCTTTTCTGAATTTTTAATTACTCCCTTGATGGAGATATCCAGAAGTAGAATCTCTAGTTGTGCAAAAACAAGAGAGGCAGGAGAGAGGGTATCCTCTACCTAGGACCTAAACTCCAGGAGCCCAAGGGTCCTGCCTCTCTTCGTCATTGTTAAATCCTCAGTGCCTAGAACAGTATGTGGCATACAGAGAGCTCTCAAAACATAATAAACGCAATGACCTTCATCTTTTGTGGGGGTTCTATATCTTCCTTCTACAATCCAAGCCCTACACCATTGCCAATAACCTTGGCATGGTGCTCTAAAGTAATGCATTACTCGCAGTTTTCAAACCAGAAGGGCTGCTGCTTGTTGAAGGGAGGAGGGATGCTAGACTAAATGGTTAATTCTAAAACAATGGGGACAATGAGAAAGAATGAAGGCGTGACATTCTGCAAGCGCAGGGCCATGCCCACCTGTGGTACCAAAAAAAAAAACCTACTGGGTCAAGTCGATTCTGACTCATAGCGACCCCCATTGGGTTTCTGAGGCAGTAAATCTTCACAAAAGTAGATTGCCCAGTCTTGCTTCCACAGAGTGGCTAGTGGGTTTCAACCGACCAACCCTCTGGTTAACAGTCAGATACTTTAGGCACTGTGCTACCAGAGGTCCTTCAACCTGTGGTACTTAAAGTTATGTGTCAACTTGGCAATTTGGGCCTGGTTTTTTGAGTGGCTGAACAGCTGGATGGAGTCATTCTCCATGATGAGACTGGTAATCAACTCCATGGTGGAATCTACTGTGAGTAGCTGCTTTAGGGAGTGGTCTGCTTCCAGTACATAAGACAAAGCTTTGAGAAAGGTCTCTGAGCTTTTTAGCACACTTGGACTCTGCATGTAGCTGAGTCTTCATTCAGCAGCCTGCCATGTTGCCTGTTGATCTTAGGACTGTTTCTGGACTTGAACTAGTGGCCTGCCATGTTGCTTGATAACCTTGGGACTATATCATTTCACTTGTCAACCTTGGGTTTGTCAGCCTCAGCAGCCAGCAGCTGCCTGAGTGAAGAGACACCTCCAGCTTCAGTGAGCCAGGAGCAAGAGGCAGAGCTGAAGCCCAAAGTCAAGGGGCCTTCACCCAGCTCCTGGAGCTGGCACTTTGAACTTGGACTTCTAGACCCCTAAACTATAAGAGGGGCGCTCTGGTAGCATAGTGGCTAAGGCACTTGACTGCTAACCAGAAGGCTGGCGGTTCAAACCCAACAGCCACTCCTTGGAAGGAGGATGAGGCAATCTACTTCCGTAGTGATAGTGCCTCGGAAACCCAGGGAGGGGTCGCTATGAGTCGGGTCCAACTCGACGGCACATAACAACAACAACAACAAACTGTAAGAGAATAAACCCCTATTTGTTAAATGCATCCCCCTGTGGTATTTTCCTGTTGGAGCAGCACAAAAGAACCCAAACACCACCAGTTTCCTCTTGAGAATCATTGGCAAAGAAAGATGATTGCTGACTCGAAAGTGTCCTGCCACTCCAGTACTTAGTCCTTTTTCTAAGTTTCTATAATTAATATTGTAGTAAATGATTTCAGACAAAATCATTCATGTGACTGAGTTATGTATGTCTGTATGTACATGTGGGCCCCTTCCTTTCACAAAAGTCAACAGTGACATCGTTTCAGGAGTTTGATTGTTCTTCACCAAAATGGCTTCTCCCAGCACTGAAAAGGCAACAGTATTTCTCATAATAGGACAGCAGGATAACCATAATGTTACCTGGTGTTCCTCAACATAATAACACTTCTCCTAGGTGGTTGGCCTTGCCTCCAAAGTTCTTTCTGACTCCAAACTAAAGCTTTCTTCTCTCTGCAGGGCAAGGTGGAAGCTGAGTTTCACCTCGTCACAGCAGAAGAAGCTGAGAAAAATCCCGTGGGAAAAGCCAGAAAGGAGCCAGAGCCACTGGCCAAACCCAAGTGAGTGACGCTGAAGTGGGAAAGGCTCTTGGTGGGCCACTTATCAGAGGGTGCGGGCATTCATCTAAAGGTCCCTCTGGGAAAAACTTCGAAGTGAGGCGGTCGATAGATGCCACCTAATCTATGTAGCTTCCTGTTTCTATAATTGAATAACATTCCAGAAACATTACAGACTATTTGCCAAATGGTGGGAGAGTTTGCCTATAATCCCACTACGTAAGACTTTATGGAGTAATTGCACATATATTCTTTTCATTCTTTTTTTCATGTGAATATAAATTTCACATGAATATTTCTCTCATTATCTAATCATGCTTACAAAATTATCTTAATATTGTTCAGTTTTACTGCAAAGTTTTGGTTTGTTGTCATAAACTCACTTCTGTTAAGTTGATTACAACTCCTAGCAACCCTGGAACTACCCACAGGGTTTCCAAGCCTGTAAATCTTTATTTATTTATTTTTTTTACTTTTAGTAAAACCGTCACTACAATCCAGTTTTAGAGCATATCCATCACCCTGAAAAAATCCCTCATGCCCCATTTGTAGTCAAATCCCATTCCCATCCCCATCCCCAGAAACTGCTGGTCTGCTTACAGTCTCTGCAGATTTGCCTTTGCCAGACATTTTATATCAATGGAATTATACAATATGAAGGCTTCTACATCTGACATCTTTCAATTACCATAGTGTTTTTTTAAGAGCTTGTTTTACATTCAACATTATGTGTACACTTAGTTTCACTCCCTGTTTACCATGTCCAACCTTGACCCAGTCTCCTCCCCTCCCTACCCTGTAACCCTCCCCCTGTACCCCTCCTATACATGCAGTCCTGTTTGTTCTGCATTTTCTCAATTTGAATGTTGGTCCTCTGGTGTCCCATGGTCTATTGCTTTAAGGGATGTATTACCATAGAATATGTGGGTGCATCATCCTGGGTCGAGTGGTCTGCATGTACATCTTGTTAACTATTGGGCTGAGAGCCAGCCCCTGGGGGTGTGTTTTATTCCAGACACAGAATGTATTCCAGGGCCATAGTATTGGGGGTCTCACCAGATTTCATCTGACCAGTAATTCTGGTCATTATTGAGTTTTTGGATTTTGTTCCACGTTTTCTCTCCCACTCTATCCAGGATCTCCAGATTTGATCCTTTCCTGAGTGGTTGGCATTGGTAGCCAGGCACCATCTAGTTCCTCTGGTCTCAAAGGCCATCGTGTCCTATGGCTGATTGCTTCCAAATGCCCCTTTTTTTTCCCACACTCTTCTTTGCTTCCAATGCTAGGAGACCATTAGCTGCATCTTAGATGGCACTTGAAAGCTTTTAAGACCCCAGTCACTACTCACCAATGTAGGATGTGGAGCAAAGCTTTTATGTATTTTTGTGCCAATTGAGTCTGGTGCCCCCCAGTACTATGGTCCTGAGATGGTAGATCTATTGGATCTCTCTCCCACAGTGTCTGGTTGTCTGTGAGGGACCACTCTGTGTCTGTCTTCTATTGTCTCTGCAAGGACTGCAGGTATTTTGTATCACTGGCATCTGTGCAAGATTAGCCTCAGCTGAATCTCTCCTGGGTCTAGAGTATACTCCTGTTCACTGACCCCCATCTGATCCTTTCAGGTGTTTATGTGTTTATCTGTAGCCTGGTGTTTGGTGTTAACGGCAATGAAGTATTGTGGACACATTGGTTGGTATTAGAATCTGTAAATCTTTACAGAAGCTGATTGCCACATCTTTCTTCCACAGAGTGGCTGGTGGGATCAAACCTCTGACCTATCGGTTAGCAGCCTAGCACTTCAGCAACTGTGCCACTAGGGCTCCTATTTTGTTGCCATAATAGTCATAATTAGAATTTTTAATGGCTGTGGAATATTTCATAGACTCAGTGCCCACCCCCCACCAGTTGAAAATTCAATCTACTTCTTTTATCCATTATTATTATATGATGACCACATCTTCCTTTTTTAAACTAATTACTTTAAAATAAATTCCCAGAAATAGAATTATTCAAAGGGAGAGTTACCCTATTCAATTAAATCTATGTTATATATTGATTAAAATAGATAATTAGGTGAATAGATAGATATGAAATATGTACACAAAATGACTCATTCAATTGTATTTGTCCTCTCCTCTCCTAGACCCCAAATGTCTCAAGATGAGAGTTTTGTCTCTGTACCTATATTTCATCTATCATGGTGTTAGGAACATAATGGATGCTTAATTATTCATTAATTCATAATTGTTTATTAAGCTCCTACCATATGTACCTAGCACTAAAAAAGATACTTTAAAGAATGCAGAAAACAAAAGGTCTACCCTACATATAAAAATAACAATCTCCAAACCAAACTCATTGCCATTGAGTTGGATCCAACTCACAGCAACCCATCCTTGGGTTTCCGAGGCAGTATCACTATGGAAGTAGATTGCCCAACCTTCCTTCCAAGGTGTGGCTGGTGCGTTTGAACTACCAGCCTTCTGGTTAGCAGTCAAATGCCTTAGGCACTACACCACCAGAGCTCCCAAAAATAGCACAGAGACTCATAAAATAGTTAACAGAGTCTAAGGAGCTCTGGTAGCATAGTGCCTAAGGTACTTGACTGCTAACCAGAAGGCTGGCAGTTCAAACCCACCAGCCACTCCTTGAAGGAAGGTTAGGCAATCTACTTCTGTAGTGACACTGCCTCAGAAACCCAAGGAGGGGTCGCTATGAGTTAGGGCCAACTCGACAGCATACAACAACAACAACAGAAGACAAATAAGTTAGGTTCCAAGAGTTAGTAAGTGAGGTGATAGGTGAGATAGGAATTCAGAGTGAGGGAATCATTACAAACTGGGTGGTAAAACTTCGTGGAAAAGGTGGGACTTGAGCAGTCAGAGCTGGATCCACAGCAGGATGTCAGGTCTCTGTCTGGCTTCTAACTAGGCTCTTATCCTCCTCCAGACCAACCCTGAAAACAATATAGGCATCATTATTGTCCACAACATGGGACTGTTCTGCTTCAGGAACATGGTCTTCTTCCTTCATTCCTAGGCCTCGCCTCTGGGTCCCCCCAAAGCGAGAGCCAGAAATACTCCTCTCTGGTCTTGAGAATCCTGACTGTTGGGTTTCCTGACTGGTTTTCTCCCGCTTCCCCCTCAGCCGCCCAGACACCTCCTTCTCCTGGTTTGTGAGCCCCTTCAAGTGCCTGTACCACCTCATCTGGAAGAACTACAAAAAGTATATTATCATCGGCTTCATCTTGATCATCCTCATCATCTTCCTGGTCCTCTTCATCTATACTTTGCCAGGAGCCATCAGCCGCAGGATTGTTGTGGGGTCATAAAGGATTGGAGAGGACCCCAAACTCCCTTTTCACTAATCCTTTCTTCTTCCTCACCTGCAAACATCTAGAAGCATGTCCCGGATGCATGCACTGCACTGGGCCTAAGGGGATCGTATCAAAGGGCCTGGGACTGGTCCTTGTGTCTAAGAACAGATCAGCTCTTCTTGGAGGAGATGAGAAGCAGCATTCCCTCCCTACCCCCACCCCTGACACCACATTTCAAATTTGAAAGCCTTAAGTCACGTTTTTGCCCATAGGCAGCATGAAATAAAAACTCCTTCCCCTCAAGATAATCAAAGGTGACCTCAAGTCGACTTAGATCATTTTTTCTTTATGTAATAGGCTTTACTCTGAGAAGTTTGAGTCTGAGATTTTATTAGAAATACTTTTTGTAAAATTTTATGGCAAATAGACTGAAGACATTTTAGCAAATTGCTAGAGATTTAACGTGCCCCACATCTTGACCTTGTTTAATCTTCACAGTTTACAGAATGAATGCTCTTATCCAGGCTGGGAAAGTGCTTGAAGCAAACTTCATATAAGTCACTGAAAATACCTCATTGCTGAAATTCCCATCTACAGAGATAACATATTAGTGGTTTTCTACCAAACTCAATGTTTGTTGACCATTTAATGTGGTTATGTGCCGTCGAGTCGGATCTGACTCATAGTGACCCCTCCTTGGGTTTCTGAGGCAGGATCACTACAGAAGTAGACTGCCCAACCTTCCTTCCAAGGAGTGGCTGGTGGGTTTGAACCGCCAGACTTCTGGTTAGCAGTCAAGTGCCTTAGGCACTACACCACCAGAGCTCCCTAGAGCATTTCCTGGAGGCATCTGTTTTGATTTAAGCTTTACGGCAATTTTGAAGTGAGAATTTTACGATATATTGTGGGGTGTGTGAAATATCATTGTGTGAGTGTTCATTTCCATGCTACAAGTAGGAATTCTCTTTAGCCAGATACAGAGGCCCCACCAAGTACAACATTCCCACAAACCATGATATGCAGGGACAGATTACCCAGTAAGCAAGGTAAGCATGTGGTTAGGGCATCAACAAGACAGGGATACCAGTTGTCCAAGACAAAGGCCCAGTGATGCCAAACAGACAGACACAAGGAAAAGCAAGTGCTACAGTGGAAGGGAACTGTCAAGGCACTAAATGGAAGTGATACCAGGTCCAGTGCGTGAGAATGTACTGTCCAGAAATAAAGTTTCACAGGGTCACAAGAGCAACCACATGCAAGGTTGTTTAAGCTACGAGACCCCTACCGCTTGAACACTTACATTGACATCTGTCTCTTATGGTCCCCTTTTGTGTAATTGAAACTCCTTATCTCCTCAGGTCTCTTGGGAGTCTACTTAGTAATTTCTAATAAACAAGAAGTGGTTCTGAGCTGTTGAGTCTAACTCTTGCTACATTCACCCAATGTGCAATTGGATCCAACATGAGTGGCTACTACGTAAGGCTGTTGTTGTTGTTGTTGTTATGTGCTATCGGGTTGGAGTCGACTCATAGTGACCCCTCCTTGGGTTGCCAAGGCAGTATCACTACGGAAGTAGATTGCCCAACCTTCCTTCTAAGGAGTGGCTGGGGGGTTTGAATCACCAGCCTTCTGGTTAGCAGTCAAGTGCCTTAGGCATTATGCTACCAGAGCTCTGGTTATATTAACAGATAATAGGTCTCTGATCCATTTTGAGAGAGCCATCTTGTACATCCACATCTGCTTACTCAGCAATTACAGTCAGAAGGGTCAGCAGTACTCTTTGCCATGATATAAACACAAGAGATTTAACACACATCTTGTCTTGCACACATCCTGGCAAACAACCAATGGGAACTCCAGTCCCAGATGATGCACAAAAGTGAGGAACTCAAGTCAGTCAACCACTGCAATGAATTCAATCAAGTAACTTTTTAACTGTATAGCATTTCCATACAGGAGCTCTGGTGGTGGAGTGCCTAAGGCACTTGACTGCTAACCAGAAGGCTGGTGGTTCAAACCCACTAGCCACTCCCTGAAAGGAAGGTTGGGCAGTCTACTTCCCTAGTGATACTGCCTTGGAAACCCAAGGAGGGGTCGCTATGAGTCAGATCTGATTCCACAGCAGTGGTTGCATTTTGCGTTTTTTGCATTTACATACAGAGTTATGTTCTAAGTTTTGTAAACAGTAATATTTAAAACTTTGATTTTAAAATACGTTTGGCATACATGCAGACTCTCTAACACACATTTATTAGAACACTAATGAGTAATAAGGAGCTTTGGTAGCATAGTGCCTAAGGCATTTGACTGCTAACCAGAAGGCTGGTGGTTCAAACCCACCAGCCACTCCTCAGAAGGAAGATGAGGCAATCTACTTCCTTAGTGATACTGCCTCGGAAACCCAAAGAGGGGTCACTATGAGTCAGGTTTGACTTGACGGCACATAACAACAACATAACAATGAGTAATAATATAATACTAACATAGCAGATGTCCAAAATACACTACAAATATTAATATTTACCCAACATGAAAAGTTTTAATTTATACATTGAGAGTGTTTCTTTTTTATTGTCTGTTGTGCAGGACACAGTACTTGATATTGCTGTGCATATGCTAATAAACAAGGTATTAGGCTCATTAAAGGATGCAAAATTCAATATTTATCATGCAAGATACATTTCTGTTTTGCAACAATGAGTGTTTCCAAATTCATCTTCCAAGAAAGCAACAAAGAGCATTTATCAAACATTACATTTATATTTTATCAGAATACTTACACGTCTCTATGTAAGGAAATTAATTAATTCCTCCAGGAAATAAATGAACATTTGCAGAATAAAAATTATATAAATTTTATTTATTATCTATTTCCCTTCTTTCTTTTAAGAAATTGATTGATGTTGTTATGACTTGCAAAATAAACTTGTTCCTCAAGATGTGGTGCTATTGTCACATCAATTATGTACATATCTCTGATGAGTACATGTGGGAGTCAAACAATTCCACAAAGAAATCAAATGCACATCTTATAAATTTTGTACATGTTAATAACAATTATATTTTCCTCTTCATATTGGACCTATCGGGTATGACTCCAGGAGCTCAGGTGGTGTTGTGCCTCAGGAATTTGCTAACCAGAAGGCTGGCAGTTCAAACCCACCAGGCACTCCTGGGAAGGAAGGTTGGGCAATCTACTTCCGTAGTGATACCACCTCAGAAACCCAAGGAGGGGTCGCTATGAGTCGGATTCAACTCGACGGCAGTGAGTTTTATTTTTTGGTTTCTCAGGTGTAACTTCACATTCAGTTCTCTTTTATTGACCACATTAATACAGTGACATATGGGCCTGTCCTATGCAAGGCACACCCAAATGCATCTTTAGATCAAGTATACCTTTGTATTTGCATCATGCTCTGTTGGACTGCTCTGGCCCCTGTTGAGCACCAGCAATAGTTCAATGAACTGTGAAGACATAGCATCAAAGGATGGAAAAGTGCGTGTGCACATTTTTAAGTATTATTTCAAGAGGAAAAACACTTGTGAAGGGACCACCAACAAACATCTTATGACAGACCACGAATGAACTTATTTCTGACTGCCTTGTAAGTACAGTCTGCCCTCCACCATATCTGCTGTTCTGCACCCCTGGATTCAACCAACCACAGATAGAAAATAGGGGGGGAAAAAGCAATTAAGTGGTCAAAGCAATCCCTCAAAGGCTAACAGGGAGTATAAAATGCTATTTAAATGGTATTTATGTTGTATTAGATACTATAAGTAATCTAGAGATGATTAAAGTATATGGGAGGTTACATATTATATATATGCAAATACTATGCTATTTTATGTAAGTGACTTGAGCATCCACAGACTTTAGGATCCTCGAACAAATCTCTCATGAATACGGAGGGATGACTGTAATATTTTTTTTGAGTCTCTCAAACCTGAAGAACAAAATTCCATGTTCCAAATCATTTTTTTCCACTCACTGATTTTCAAATATAAATTTCTGTATTAACGTCCAAATTTGAATATAAATGTTATTTTATAAATTTTACTTGTTTTATAAATTTAATTTATTTTCAATTATTTGAATTTATTTGCTACTGTAGAACTAAATTTAAAAAGTGACATAATTTTATATCCAGGTATAATGAAACAGCAACAACTAAGTAGAGTGGAAAAACAAAAGCTCACAGAAGATAAAAAGGAAAAAAGTTGAGAATCTCGAAAGACAATTTCAAAATTAATTCTTTTTTAAAATGCAGTGAGTCAGAAAAGACTTCTTCCACTGAATGCTTGAGTTTAATGGGTGCAAAGTGTACTAATATTGCTAGTGTTGAAATTACTAATAGCAATACTTACATAACAGAATTTATTCCACATTCTGCATCTATTCCTTACTGTAGTTAAAAAGAAAGAAAGAAAAGATGTAGAAAGTGAAAGTATTTTAAAATCTGAAATTGCCTCACCTGTACCCCATAAGGGAGCTCTGGTGGCATAGTGCCTAAGGCATTTGATTGCTAATCAGAAGGCTGGCAGCATAAACCTTCCAGCCACTCCGTGGAAGGAAGACTGGGCAATCTACTACCGTAGAGATACCACCTCAGAAATCCAAGGAGGGGTCGCTATGAGTCAAATCTACTCGACAGCAGTGAGTTTGGTTTTAGTTTGGTTTGCACCCTATAAATAACAGAAATACAGATCCTGTTTTGTGGAATAATTTTTCTTCAAATGCTGTAAATTATGGGATTGAAATAGGGCCAAATGATTGTTAATACACACCATTTGAAAATTTGGGTCAAAAATTTCTGGATGGTAAACAAAGCAAGGTACTATAGCCAAAATATATTTCTAGGGTGCAAAGTTAATAGTGGAAATCATGAGAGGGAGTGACTACTGTATTTTCTATCAGTCATTTCCGTATATTGTTTTGTTTGCAAACTACTCAGCCCTAAATAATTTAATTCTCAATTTTCTATAGATAGACTTAGCAATTGGCATAACACGAA